CCATAAAGTTTTCCTCTACCCTCCACATGAACACCATGGCATGCACTCATCCCAAACAATAATGAATATTTGAAAGACTTAGTAATTCCAAAAAATAGGGAAGAAACCTAACCCAGGCATCATCAGGAGAGGTTGGGTAAAACTTGGAGGAGAGGCAGGCAAGTGGTCCCCTCAGCGCTCGAAAGGTCCCATCACCATGACAACATGAAGGCAGCATCAGGACAGGTTTCACCAAGCCAACAGTCCCTCAAAGAACTCAGCTCCCATGCTGGGCCAGTGGCAGCTCTGGTTTCCTTGAAGTGAATCAGGCAGCCTTCTGGAGAGCTAGGCTGCTTGCAGCAAGACAAAGCCTTCAAAGTAAACCTCAATTCTATAAGGTAATTCCTGGGGAGCAAAGACACCAAAGAGGGCTAATTGAGGAATGGATGCCCTCGCTTTCACCGGCACCCCCATGTAAGTAAAGACCAGGAAGAAAGGAGGGCTTAGGGGTCAGCTAGCTTTGCTCTATCTCCCGAGTCTGGGGCAAGCCAATACACACCTACCTCTCTTCAGTACCCAAATAATTGATCCTCTTTGCCTCAAGCCTCCGGCACTGGTACAGCCAAGAAACCAAAGAAACCCAAACGCTTTTCACAGGCTGGTCTACATTCCTCTCCTAACCACAATCCATGAGGCACAGCCTCCAGGCGAGGGCACTTGAAGCCTCAAGGGTGCTTTACTGAACTCCAAAACTCACATGAAGTATAGGAAAGTCCCTTCGCTGTCCTCAAGCCAGAATGAAGACTGTCGGCCGACCTACCTGACCAACAGGTTTCAAGAACTACCTTCGCTGTTAGGTTTCACACACAAAAAGAAATAACCCCTCCGCTGGCGCCTCACGGGCGCCCCTTCTGCAGGCCCCTCACGACCCATTCCACTGCCCGGCAGGGCCAACTCCGGGCCGCAGAGACAGCAGCTCCGGCTCACCCGCCATGCCCCGCCCCGCCGCGCAGCGCCTCGCCTCGCCCCGACCGCTCTTGTGTTCCCAGACAGGCCCGACCCTCACCTACAACCGCCGGCCGTCTCACCTGGAGCCCGGCTAATCGCTTCCCGGTCCCGGCCCGGCCGACCCTGGGACCCGGCGCTGCTCCAGGCGCCACGGGGGCGGGCCCCGCGCCCATCCTCGCCATGGCAACGCGACACTTCCGGCCCGAGGTGTCCGAAGCGGAAGCCGCGGTGCCGGGTGGGAGTCCTGGGCAGAGCCACTCTACAAGGGCGGGGCCTAAAGAGCGCCCTCCAGAGGCGGGGCCAGCCCCGGTAGCTTGGTTGATACTATGGAATGTTTTTTATGCTCTGTTCTGTGGCACGAACATCCTGGTGTCTCGAGTGCGGCGGGAAGGGCAATTGTTCAGGTGTTCCGGAAGGCTGATCTCTATCCTGGTCTTTGAAAGACGGGTTGGAGTCTTTCCTTCAAAGCAGAAGCGTCGTTGTTCGAAGGAGAGAGCAGCATGTCCCAGAGGATGGGCGGGCAGCAGTTTGGATGTTGGTTGGGCCCTAGGACACAGTGGTCAGGGAGGAGCAGCCAGGGAGCCAGGCTTTAGCCTGGTAGCGAGGCAGGACCAGTGGGAAGGGGAGACCTCAGACTTGTAAAAGAGAACGATTTCTTTGCTGAATAGGGCTGAGGCCAGCGTTGTTTACCTGGTGAGACACAGGAACCCTCAGCTACGGAAAACAGGAGGCCAGGAGGTGATAGGATTCCAGGGGAAGGCAGATAAGGGCTGAAAGAAGAGCCTGGGATAAGATCCTAACTTAGCCAGCGGTAGGATAGTCGGGAGAAGTCCCACTGCGTTCATCCTACACACGTGCCCCGGCTCCCTCCTGTACTCATGACGGTGCCTTCCTCGGCACCAGCAAAGGTCTCTATCCAAAAGGTGGAATCTCAAAGTGTTTAGTGTTGATGTCGATCTGGGACCATTGGTTCCGGTACCAACTTCTGCTGTCAGTGCGGTGATTCAGACCCTCATTGCAAACCTCCCAGGGTAGTAGCCAGGAGAACTTGGGTAACATTTAGAACACAAATGGTGACTGAGCCCAAAGGGTAGAGCCACCAGTTCGATGTCCAGGAAGAGGTAGGGCCCACATGGGCTCCTATTCCTTACCCCTGGAAAAATAACAAGTCTCTCCTCGCGTTATTTAAGGGCACAAGCTCTAGGCCTTTTTGGCCCAGGAAGTCGTCCCACAATCCATCTCCTCATCTGTCCGCCCCACCCCCCATCAAGTCCCGGGTTGTAGACCCCCTACCTAGGACGTGGCTTCTTTTGACTACTTTGTCGTGAAATCCCGGGAATTCCCCTTGTCCCTCAGGGTAATTTGGCTGGGGAAGTCACTTCCCATCTGTTAAATGGGAGTTAGGGACCTGACCAAGCAGATAAGGTATGGGGGGGGGGGGGGGTAAACCTTTGTCAAGGGCTTTTCCTTCAGGTTATAGGGGATGCCCGGGCACCCAAATGCAACCTGGGAGTGGAGACTGACCTCAGGAGGCCACCAAAAGTCCCAACGGGAATCTTTTCTGCCCTTCCCTCCAAGATTAACTGAAACCTGCTAATTGTGGAAGCCCTTCACATGTTCCCCTCCCCCACAGCCTCTTCCTCCTCACTCCTCCCCCTTCCATCAGAATGATAAAGAAGGGATTGGCCTGCCTGTCCCAGCATGGCCTCAGACTGGGACCCCACCTCGACTTACAGTCGGTCTGCCCTGAGCCCCCTGTTAGGTCAGACCCCCACACAGGGCCGCTTTCCTTGCGTGATGTCTTGCAACACCTCTCATCAGAGGCCTCCAAAGGCAGAGTCTCCCCCCAAGAGGAGGAAGAAGAGATACCTGCGTCATGACAAGCCCCCTTACACCTACTTGGCCATGATCGCTCTGGTAATTCAGGCAGCACCTTCCCGCAGGCTGAAGCTGGCCCAGGTGAGAGGATCCCTCATGCTGGTGGGTCACACCTATCCCAGGCTCGCGCGTGCGGCCTCTACCTAGTCCACTCATCCTTGCCAGTGACTCGGGGACTCTTTTCAAGACCCTTCTTCCACAACCCCCACACACTCTGCTGCCCTCGGGCCCAGAGGTCTGTCTCCCTGAGAAGAGGTGCCCTGCTGCCGGCTGTGGGGGGAAGGAGAGGGCACTGCTATCCCTGGCTCACCACGCCAAACACTGCCTACTTTCAGATCATCCATCAGGTCCAGGCAATGTTCCCCTTCTTCAGGGACGACTACGAAGGCTGGAAGGACTCCATCCGCCACAACCTTTCCTCTAACCGGTGCTTCCGGAAGGTAGGGTGGTCTATGGTCAAACTCTGGGAGCGGTGTGGGGTGGACGTGGAAACCCTGACCCTCTGGGTGGGATAGTCACACCCAAGCCAATTACTCTCTAGGTGCCCAAGGACCCTGCAAAGCCCCAGGCCAAGGGCAACTTCTGGGCGGTGGATGTGAACCTGATCCCAGCAGAGGCGCTGCGCCTTCAGAACACTGCTCTGTGCCGGCGATGGCAGACCCGGGGCACACGCAGAGCTTTCGTCAAGGACCTGAGCCCCTTCGTGCTCCACGGCCGGCCTTACCGGCCGCCCAGTCCCCCACCACCATCCAGGGACGGTTTCAGCATCCAGTCCCTGCTAGCGGACCCCGGGAAAGGATCGACAGAGCCCCAGCAGCCTGCACTAGCTGGACAGAGCAGTTCAGCTCAGGCAGGTACCAGCTCCAAGGGGGAAGAAGAGATGTGTACTGTGCCCCGTAACTCCACTGAGAAGCCTCTGTGGCCCCTCTGCTCCCTTCCTGGGCCCACAAGAATAGAGGGGGAGACTTCCCAAGGGGAAGTCATCAGGCCTTCTCTTTCCCCAGAGCAAGGCACCTGGCCAGTTCACTTACTTCAGGGTTCCCAAGATCCCATGGGGATGTCCAGCAGGGGGTGCAGAGCTTCCCTGTGGGGACAGCTACCCACTTCTTACTTGCCCATCTACACTCCCAATGTAGTAGTGCCCTTGGCCACACTACCTCCCACCTCTTGTCCCCAGTGCCCGTCTTCAACCAGCCCAGCCTACTGGAGTGTAGGTACTGAATCCCAAGGATCCCCGGACCTGCTCTGTGATCTAGATTCCCTCTTCCAGGGAGTACCACCCAACAAGAGCATCTATGATGTGTGGGCCAGCCATCCTTGGGACCTGGCTGCTCCTGCCCCCGGCTGGCTGCTCTCCTGGCACAGCCTGTAATCGTTAGAGGCAGGCAGGGGCTGCTTCTCCCTTCTACCCCTGGGTACCATTTTGATGGAGACCAGAGTTAGGAGCATGTCCACAGCAATAGCTTTAAAACACCAGGCACGGCATTGCTGAAAACCCATAACTTTAATTGGGCTACTCCAGAAAGGGTTTTGCCTCTGCTAGACACGACAGGTCTGGTCAATCACTCTCCCACACACAGGGACGGGGTCTGGAGAGGCAGCGCTCAGCCTAGAGTGGGGCATCTTCCCCTTTATCCCACTCTGTCATGCCATCCATCTAAGCCATCCCTCTGTCACCGCGCCTTCTTGGCTCCAGGCTGGGGGAGGGCGAGCCAAAAGTGGGTCCATTCTCAAGTCTTCCCCCACCCCTCAGCTGCCTGGGTAGGAGGTAGCACCTTTTGGGGGGAGGGTTAGGAAATGAAATCTGGACCCTACATGATTTGGGGTGGTGGAAGTAGGGGAGAAATTAACAGTAAAAGAATTTACAAGGCTTTAATTCCAAGTCTGATATTGGGGGCAGGGTGGTGAGTTGGGAAACCACTTGGTCTGGGGTCTGGTTCCTGCAGCTCCGGATCCCCCGCTGAGGACTGTGATAAGGGCAAATGGTGATAAGGTGAGAGCTGAGGGCCTGCGGCCCAGCTGGGGGTGGAAGGGTGGAGGCAAACCTTTCTCCGAGCACGACAGTCCCTGGCCAGATCAAGAAGGCAAAGGGAGAAACTGTAGGATTCTGGGGGCCAGCTAGGGCCTGAGTTGAAAAAAAAAAAAAAAAAAAGACAAAAGAGGTTGACCTGGAAGATGGGGTATAGGAACTTCACTGCTGCCTCTGCCAGCAGAGGTTTGTTCCCATCCCAAGACCAGTCCTAAGGGCTTTGACCCAGATCTACGGAGGCAGGTCCGCTGGAGGCTCTAGAGTCAAGCCAGAACAGCAGTTGGGGCTGGGACTTGGAGGGCTGCCAGGAGATGGTGTAGGGGTGCAGGAAGTCCCAGTGAGTGGGGTGTCAGTACTGAGAGAAGAAGGGGTTCCGGAGCGTGGGGCTCTACGGCGTCGGGCTGGTCCCAGTTCCACTTGACCCACTCGCTCAGCGAATTTGAGCGAGCAGATTGTCTCCCCAAGATCTTCGGTCCTCGTTGAGATCTACAAGAGAGAGACACTCATACATAGCTCTGGTGGGCAGTGCCTCAGGTTTGAGCCAACCCAGGAACCCACCTGCAGCAGCAGCACTGCGGTGGTGCCGGCGCCAAGCGCCGGCTGTAGCAGGCGTGTAAGCTGTGAGTCTCGGAAAGGTACGTGCGGCCGCCGAGCTCGGAGCGCGGCCATCACTCCTCCTAGCGCCAGCAAAGAGCGGTTGATTGCCTGGGCCTCCCGCAGGCGCCGGGCGCCATTGGGATCTCTCGGCAGCGGGCTGGCCACCCCTGCTTTCCACACACGCTCGGAGCCTGCCAGGTCCACCAGGTGCAGTGTGCCTGCCGGTTCAAATGAAACCGATGTGGATGGAGACCTCTAGTTAACTGGAAACCCAGCAGGATTTAAATTAAGCACAATCAGTGGTACCTGTGCTACCCTGGGCACGAGATGGAGACGCTGAGCGCAAAGTCAACGTAACTAGGGCGTGGGAGCGTGAGCTGTGCTGGTTCATGACAGTAGCTGCCGTAGCTCGGTTGCTCCTCCCCAGACTCAGCATCTGGAGATATATATATATGTGTGTGTGTGTGTGTGTGTATCAGCGGGGGGGGGGATGTGGTCTCTGCCCCCAGGTGGAAGCAGACAGGGGCCCTGAAGAGGGCAGCCTTACCTGGTGCAGGGTTTCCAGGTTAGGGACGTCCCAGTGCGTGAGGCCAGCCACTTGAATTCCTCCCTGCCCTGCAGGTCCCTGCCTCACAACCAGGCGCTCTGGAGGCCCTGTAGCTAGGAGGTCCCTGGTAAGAAAGGGCGGGTTAGGTCTCTGGGCTCTAAATGTGGCTGCAGAACCCTGGGGCAAGGAAAAGGCCGCTCACGCATCCCTGACCTGACTGCCTCGTTGTAGATCTCCACCATGCTGAGGGTCACATGGTGGTGCCCTCCAGTCCCCATCTCCCGGAACAGCAACTGCAGTGCCCTAGGAGCTATGCCAGGGTCCTCAGGTGGGCCCTGAGGACAGTGTGCAGTTGCCACATTGGACTCTCATACAAACCCCCGAGGCTCCCCCACCTCCCACCCCCAAGTGTGAACTCCAACCCACCTCCATACTGTAGGTTTTTCCAGTCCCAGTCTGACCATAAGTGAAGATGCAGACACTGTACCCCTGGAGGCAAGACAGCACTGCTGGCTCTAGCTGCCTGAAGACCTAGGGACATAAAACAGGCGAGAGAAGTGTCCTTAGCTCTTCCCTGTTTCCCTATTCAAGACCTGAAAGTGGGAAAAGTGTGACTCCCCTGAGAAGTGGCTCCCCTTCCTTCCTACAGCAGGTGCACTAGGAATTAGTGGGGTAAGGACATAACAAAACTGATACTCCGGAAGAGGATGTAGAAGCCTGGGGACCAGTTAGGAGGTCCTGGGGGCAGTGGTCAAGAGCTCAGATGCCAGGGCTGGACTTCCAGGTTAAAACCCGAGGCAACTAGAAGCCAAGTACTAATCATCTTTTCTACGCTTTTCCAGGTCATTCCTCTATAGCAGCTAATGGAAATGTGTGCTGGAGAACCTGAGTAGTACTTGACAAGAAAAGAATAAACCTAAACAGGAAATGGTGGCGCACACCTTTAATCCCAACCCTCAAGAAGCAAAGGCAGGCAGATCTCTGCACTCAAGGCCAGCCTGTCTACAGAACTAATTCCAAGCCCGCCAGAGGCACACAGTGAGACCCTATCTAAAAAACAACAACAACCAAAACACAGCCTGATCTACACATCTACAGAGTGAGTTCCAGGACAGCTAGAGCAACACACAGAAACCCTGTCTCAAAAAAGCAAAACTTAAAAGGTCAAGAGGGTCTCTGTGAGTATAGGGGTAGTCACCAGGCAAGACTATAGGAACTCAAGCTCTGAGAAATAGAGACTGAAAGAGATATAGGACAATGGGGCTAAAACATTCACAGTGTCGGACAGAACTGTTGTAGACACAATTAATAGCCTTGAGTACCCACTTGGCCAACTTTCATATTAGAAGGTCCCTAGAGATTGAGCGGCTGTCATTTCTATTTCTTCTTTTTTTTTTTTCTTTTTTGGCTTTTTGAGACAGGGTTTCTCTGTGCAGCTGTCCTGGAACTCACACTGTATACCAGACTGGCCTTGAACTCACAGAGATCCGCTTGCCTGTGCCTCCCAAGTGCTGGTATTAAAGGTGTGCTCCACCACCGCCTGGTGTGGCTGTCATTTCTGATTGATGTCTTTCTTGATGGATGATCATATAAACAAACTCTAGAATTGCCAGAGTGAGGATAAAAAGTTCAGAACTGGGTGGTACAAAAGCGAGGAATACCGGTTGGAACCTCCTGAGAGATACCTTTGGTCCAGTCTGTTAGACTGAGGACCCAGTCCAGGCTGCCCAGAGTACAATAAAAAGTGAAGGGAGCTGTGTATGGCTGCAGTTTGAGACGGGAGATGAGGCCAGGAGATGGGAAGTCAGTCAGTGGTGGGTCTACCCCTGCCAGCCACTACATAATACCGTTTCTGAGACCAGAGCAGTCTGGGTCTTCTTTGCCAGCTCTGGCCCTAACTTAATCCTTTCTCAGCTCTGAGCCTCCACCTCAGCCCCAGAGACTCCAGCAACACAGTTTATGTGCAAGTAGAGACCATGTGTGAAGCATGTTGGGGTAGACTGCTTTTCCACTGATGTCTGGCCAGAGAAGAGGGAAGAGCAGGATTGATTGGAGCAGGCAGTGGGGGAGAGCACTGGGGCTGGCAGCTGCCCTGCTCGCTCATCACCTATGCTCCCACCTAACCTGCCTTAGGTCCACAAAGCAAGAAGTTCTGCCTTCACAGATGGATAGAGCCTGGATCATAAGAAGGGTGTGTGTCAGTGAAGCCATGTCTTCACCACTGTGGTACCCATCCATGCCTGCAGCCAGTTCTACACAAACAGTAACTCACCTTGGACAGGCTCAGCTGGAAGCCATTCCTGCCTTCAAGGACTTTCAGAGGCTCCCTTCCCTGATGGAGCCCAGCCTCCCACCTTTTAAGTACTTAGCCAGTCATGGAAGAGGGAACGGGCCTCTTTTGGACCCAGGGGATTCTGAAGAAGGGTCAGAACAGATGCAAAGGTGGCTGTCACCTCCTCCTGGCTGGCATCTGGAGGAAAGACCCAATCCAGGCGAAAGCGGTGCTGGCGCCCTCGGTAGCAGGTGGTGATGGTGCCCCCTTGTCCAGGCTCCACGCTCACCAGGCTAGAAGGTATTCCTTCAGCTGGTCTCAGCCGACATAGCACACGGATATTCCCTGCATTGGGGACCACACCAGCAGATTGGCTCCTCTTCTTCCATCCTGTAGTCATCGCTGCTCCACTCCCAAAGCCAATCTTACCCTTGAGTTCCAAAAGCCGCCCTGAGCATCCAGTTGGGGGGCCCTGCTGCCCCTCTGGAAGCTGAGTCCTAGCCCCTCCTGCTGACAGAGCCCCAAGGGCCCAGGATACCTGTGAGGAAAACAAGAACAGTTGCCAGGGCAATGTCAAGTGAAGTGGGGTGCTGAGAGCGATATGACCAGCTGTGGTGCCATACAACTTTCAGTGGGTATGGACTCCTGTGGGCATCATTCAGTGAATCTGAGATAGAATCTAGGGACCATAGACAAAAATATTCATTCATTCTCTCATCTATCCTTCCAGGTTTCTCAGCAACTGCCAGTTTTCACAGCCCAGACATGAGCACTTGAGATGCAGAGGCAGCAAATCTCTGAGTGCAAGGCCAGCCTGGGCTACAGAGTGAGTTTCAGGACAATCAAGGCGACATAGAAACCCTGTCTTGCAACCACTACCCTCTACCCCCTAAAAAAAGAAAAAAGAAAGAGACAAATGAGGACACTTTGGGCCACTCAGAAATTATTTTGATCTAAGTGCTTACAACTGACCCACTAGTACAGACAGCTCCTGAGGGACAGAAAGGGGGAAACAATAACAGAGGCTCCCCATAGAGAAGGTACTAGGAGAGGAAAGTTCCTGACCTGGCCCTGGGCCTCACTCAGAGAGCCCTGACAACTCTGGGTAAAGGTGCTGACCAGTCCTCGGAGGTCCCCACAGCCCTGACGAAGGCTGGCCATCCGTGCCCGAAGTCCTAGAAGAGGAAGGCCATTGAGAGGAAAAGAACAGATTCCAGAGCATTTCCCAAACCATTTTCTCCTAGCCCTTACCTGCCAGCTGTCCATGAACTTGCTGCAGCTCCTGTCTGCAGTTCTGTTCTGTCTCCTGCTGGAGCTGCTGGAGGGCCCCTCGCAGGCCCTGCAGCTGCATCTCCTGGACTCCCAGCTGTCCCTCCCAACCCCACTTCAGTCACTGAGGAAACAGGCACCAGGCCCTGCCCCAGACGTCACCTCCCAGCATCACAGCCCCCCTTATCCCTAGGTCCCCTAGCCCACCTGGACTCGGAGGGCTTCTGTGGTGTCTTGGGCTTCTTGAAGCTGTCCCTGCAGCTCCAACAGAGCCCCTGCCTCCTCCTATAGGAGAGTGGGAGCCACATGGAAACTCTGGAAAGGGTATCCTGTAGCTCCATTTCACACACAGAAAGGCCAGATCAATAGTGGCAAGAAGGACGAAAGCCATGGTAACCGACTCTGTGCAGGGCTCCCTGTCCCAGACTCTCTGTTCTCCTAAGGTTACTCAAAGAGACCAAGAATGGGGTGGGGGGGTGTCTTCTATGAGCATCAGCCTCACTGATGCAGCTACCCTACAAAGACTGTCTCGGAGTTTCTCCGTAGTTAGAGATGGGCCCCTACTAAAGCACACACAAAGTCCTGAGGAGGTTTAAGTACTGTAGCTGGATACCAGGCGTACAGGAGCCTGGACTGCAGACACCATGCAGCCAAACAGCGGAGTACCTGTGGAGCTCTGGAGAGGGGGCCAGGGCCCCAGTGCAGCAGGAGCTCCCGAGTAAGGCTCAAACTCTGTTTCAAGGCTTCATTCTCCAGTGTGAGATGCTGAACTCTTTTCTCTGAATCTGTCGCCCCCTGACAGAGAGGGATGCCATCAGGATGCACCTGGCATTCCCTTGACTTCTCAGTCTGTCTCCTGAGCCCACCCCAATAGCCTCACCACTCCCAGGCGCAGCCTGCTCAACTCTTCTTCCTGCTGCTCCAGCTGCTGTCTCAGCTCTTCCAGCTGCGGAGGAGTCAGGGACAGGATGCCATTCCTTTTTGGGTCTCGCACCCACCCAGTCCCTGCTGCTCTTGATTCTCTTACCTGTCCAAGAATAAGCTCTTCCAGCCGCTGCCAAGCTCTCTGTTCCTCCTCCAGCTGGGGAGGCTGCAGTTCCTGGGTTTCATCCCCTGGTACCTCATCCAGGATGGGAGTGGGCTGAGAGGAGCTCTCTTCTTGTGACAGGGACCCTAAGGAGCCACAGTGAGGCCAGTTACAAGTACAGAAACGTCTGGCCTAGAGAACAGAGCCGATTCTGATAGACCCAGCTCCCTCCACAAACGGTGGTACCCGTTACAAACCATCTAGAGTGGAAGACTGCACTGGGCAGGCTGACTGTGTCCCCTGGAGCAGGGCCTGCCTCCCCCTGGGGCTCCGTGTCCATGCCAGAAGGGCCAAGAGCTGACTTGTCACTGTCAACAGCGGGGGGACCTCACCAGGCTGTGCAGGAGGTAAGAATCAGCAGAGGAGTTGGGCATGTGAGAAGGACAGAAGTTGGGGAAAGGCTGGAGCCGAGTGCTCACCTTGCCCGGGTCAGGAGGCGTCCCACAGCTCTCTTCTGCCCCCAACTGGAGGGAAAGGAACTCAGCAAGGCGCATAAGTGCCTCTTCCAGAGACACCTCAGGTGCTCCACCCTCGGCTCCTTTCTGACCATCCTCAGATTTGGAGCAGCCTTCGAGGCCAAGTAGTGGAAGGAAGAGGCATTCCATAACACTAGTTGGAGGCTAATATTTCTCTCTCAGTACCCCAACTTCAGGGCTCCCTCAATACCCTTCCCCAGCAGCTCCTCTGCATGCACCTACCCGCCAGGCTGTTCAGCTCGGTCCAGAGCTCTGATGTGAACTGATCGGGGCGGCGACGACCCCTAGGTTTACCACTGCTCCTCTGGGAAGAGAGTATGGGGCGTCAGTGAGGGTGCTGGCAGCATGTGGGGCTTTCCCTTCTGATATGGGCTAAGGGGTTTGGGCTGATGTTTATGACCCCAACACCTAGATAGAGAAAAAAACTGGTCTAGGAACAGCCCTATTTCCTAGCGCTGGCGCCTAAGGACATAAGCTGCACAGGTCGGCCACGACCAGATCTCAGGGTGATGGTAGTAACCAACCGCGATGCAGGCCCACTCCGCTCACCTGGGTGGGGTCGTTGGGGTCCGCGGCCGCCGCGGCCCCGCCATCCCTGCGAAAAAGACTGTAGAAGATGTAGATGAGCAGAGAGTAAAAGGCGTACATGGGGGCGCGGGGCGGCAGAGAGCACCGCTTCGCGCCGCCCCGCGTCCCCGCACCAGGACTCCGCACCCTCCCGCCGCAGTGCCCATGCGCATGCTCGCGGCGGCCGCCCCCACGGACGATCTTCCGCGGGCGGAGGGTGCACACTGACGGGCGACCGCGGGGAACTGCAAAACCTCTCCTTAAGACCCTGTCAAGCGTTTTTCAATCCCTATTTCGCAAAATAGTGGGCGCACAGAGGTCTAACGGTTGTCTAGCCTCTTTTAGGAATCCTGGCCCGCACTGCGTGGAGATCCCCACCAAGGTACGCGCGTACGCTTGCAACAGCTTTCGGTGCACAGGTGTACAACCTCTCCTCCTCCGGTAGCCCAGCCCAGATCCCACCCCTCCCCCGGAGCCCGACCCAGTCCCGCCCAGACCTCCCCCTCGAGCATCACCTCGCCCCGCCCACAGCCAAGCAACCCTCCTTCGAAGCCTCACCCCGCCCCGCCTCGCGGCTCCGCCCAGACCCCTCGAAGCGCCGCCTCTCTTCTCTCAGTCCGAACCTACTCTTCGGAAGCCCCGCCTACATCCCCGCCTCGGATCCCGGACCCTTCACCAACCCGGTGCACGAGCAAACCTGTCTTGAAGCCTATGCGCACACCTTAACTCCCCGCACTCGGGAGGCAGAGGCAGGCGGATCTCTGTGAGTCGGAGGCCAGCCTGGTCTCTACAGCAAGTTCCAAGACTGCTAGGGCTACACAGAGAGACCCTGTGTAGAACACAAACCTGCGGTGAACATCTTCTGGTAGTGACCTCCACCCTCCCAGCCCCACCCCTCCAGAGCCTCCCTCGGCCTTCCGCAGGCCCCGCCCCACCGCTCTAGCCGGAGCTCCTCTCGTTGGTGGAGGTAAGCGGGCTGCTCGGGTCAGCGCCGCCGGAGGGCGGGCTAGGAGGCGGGCTAGGAGGCGGGGCTGACTGTTGTGGGCAGGTTCCGACCATCGGCTCGGTGTCGCCAGGTGCTGCCCGCTGTCTCGGGCTGGCCTGTGCTGCCGCTGCTTCCCTGCCCGGACGTGGAAGACCGTTTCTCTCCAAGCGCTAAGGACTAGGTCCCGGCCACAGAACGGGACTGCGCATCTTGCTGTTCCGAGTACCTCGCTTGGGCGCCAGGATTCCACTCCCACTCCCCTTCCCCTGTAAATTAGTCTTTCTTCCCTGCAGGTGAGTCCAGTGACCTCAGAGCTCCAAGAAGTTTGGGGCTGAATCTATCCTGATGTCTACTCATAGGTCTCTGGAGTTTGAGATTCCTGAAGAGCGGCACTAAGGACTCCAAGTCACCAGCCTCTGTGCTTTCTTCTCTCCAAATCCGAAGCCCCCTTTCCGATCTCCTCAAACTCACTGCTGTTCAAGGTGCCATGGTCTCCAAATCCAGGAGTGAGTGGAGTACCGTCCTGTCCCACCTGGTGCTGGCAGCGGTGTCTCTGCAGGCAGCGGTGAGCTCTGTACAGGTGAATAGTCTTGCTTTCCCGGACTATGTAGAAAGATCCCTGCACTAAAAGAGGGTGGTGGGAGGCATATATGAGCCTCGGTCTCCTCGACAGCCTCAAACTCTTTCCTTTTTAGAAGGGTGGCTCCTGGCTCCTTAACATGTCTGCCTTCCCCGTGTCAACAGTCCAGTCGAGGAGCTGCTGCTGGCTTCCTGCTGCAGACCTTTGCTGCCATCACGATGTTGGCCCCGGGACTGAGCACACATGAAGACTGTCTCGCTGGAGCTTGGGTTGCCACAGTCATCGGTCTACCTCTCCTGGCCTTCGATTTTCACTGGGTGAATGGGGACCGCTCCTCTGCCAATCTGCTTCTGGGAGGAGGCATGGTGTTGGCAGTGGCTGGTGACCACCTTGGACCTGAAGGGTGCTCTGTGGCTGGGCAGGCGGTACTGCTGGTGGTGGCAGTGACCATCCTTATCGTAGCTGTTTTCACCGCCAACACTTACGGGATGTGGGGGGGTGCCATGCTGGGCGTGGCAGGTCTCCTGAGCCGTCTGGAAGTGGACAGGCTGCTGTTGTTGCCAAAGGAGGATGTCTGTCGTTGGGCCCTGGCTGCAGGCAGTTGGGCCTATTGCCGGGCCCTGCACACACAGCGTCTGCAGTGGGAGTGAGACCGTGGGGCTGACAGCAAGGCAGGGCTTCTGTTCCAGGTACTGCTTCCCCTCCTACTGGCCTACATCTAGAGCCTCTCTCTTAGGGGCAGGCTTGCCTCCCTCTTGAAGGGAGCCTGCTGTACTTTCACCAATCAGGGGCAGAGCTTGGGTGCTTGCCCTTCTCTGGTCATGCATGTGTGGAAGCGTGCCTAAACCAGAATGCAACAAGTCTTCAGCACATTTGGGGCCTGATTCTGGGAGGAACACGGTTGTGAGTCAGAGGCCAGATTTTCAATAAACCTTAGGAATGTACAGGAGTATGGAATCTGCTTATTCTTGAGCTAGCTTCCTAAGGCCTCTAGAGTATCAGCTGATTTCCCCGAGTAAAGAAGGGGCAATGTGCTTTAACTAATAAAAGGCATTATTCACCTTGGCATTCTGGCAGACTTGCCAAGAGAACCGCAGTGTGCTAGGCATGGTGGTGTAGGCCTTTAATACCAGTTGGGAGGCAGAGACAAGCGCATGTCTGTGAGTTCTGGGCCAGACTGGCTTCCAGAAGTTGAGTTCCAGAATGGCCAGTGTTACATACAGTGAGACCCTGTATCAAAAAAAGAAAGAAGGAAAGAAAGAGAGAGAGACTCCATGCTGAAAAGACACAGCAGTTTTTGGGTCTTGGTTTCCTGGGACATGGTAGATTTGCATATATCCTTGGTGGACCTGGCAGGTGGCCCTCTGGGGCAGTGACCTTCACAAGCTGGTGGCTGCCGCAGTGAAGGGCAGAAGCGGGTTGTACGTCAGCGATTCCCGGGAACTGCACATCCCTTCTGTGGACTGATTTGCTTACTACCTGTTTGCCACCCTCTTGTGTGTACAAGCCATGTCTTAGAAATTAAGAACCACACTTTCCTCTATGGACCCTTCTTCAGCCTCCAATCCCGGGGCTGGGCCGAGGGGTGGGTTAGAGTGTACCCAGTCCTTCTCTGTTCTGGTACTTGGTGTCTTGTCGACGTTTATCCCGTCGCGCAAGTGTGGTCGTCAGTGGGTTTTTCCAATTAGTGCCCTTCCACTCTAGGCAGCTAGGCCAGAGCCTGGCGCACGGAAGCCCGAATTTCGGTGGACAATGGCACAGGCACACCCTGACATGGGAGTCTAGGGGCGCTTTGCACTCTCAAGGAGTAAAAGTCTCGGTGTTTTTCCCGACCCCAGAGCGGGTTGTACCTTTCCAGGGACGCACCCCTCTCCTCAGCCCCCGTCACCCCTCGCCCCTCCAGCCTCCTGGACCCCACCTCCTTCTGTTCACCTTCTACAGTGGGCGGGCCCTCCGGCCTTCTCGCTCGTCCATTGGCGGTGGCCACCACATCGTCTAGCCCCTCGCGGCGCTACCATTGGTTTGCGCTGAGCACACGTGACCAGGAGGACGAGGGGGCGGTGGCGTGGGGGGGGGTCCGCAGCGAAAACAAAGATGGCGGCCGCGCCGGGGTTGGTGGCCGGGACGGCTGCGGGCCGACGCGCGGGCCAGGCCCACTGAGGCAGCGGCGCAGCGGGCAGGTTGCAGGGTCGCCGCGGCAGCGAGAAGCCGGCAGGGGCGCGCGGCGACCCTAACTTCCAGCCGGCGAGCGCGCCGGCACCCGCCCGCCGGGCCGGCCGGACGCGATGTCCGGCGCCGAGGAGGCCGGCGGGGGTGGCCCGGCTGCGGGGCCCGCGGGTGCCGTGCCGGCCGGGGTCGGGGTAGGGGCCGGGCCTGGGGCTGCCGCGGGGCCGGCTGCGGCGGCTCTGGGCGAGGCGGCGGGGCCCGGGCTCCCGGACGAGGCGGGCCTGGCCGGCGCTCGGCAGCTGCAAGAGGCGGCCGGCGACCCTGACGCGCCGCCCAAGAAGCGGCTGCGGGCGGCCGAGGCGGCCGAGGCGGCGGCGGCGGCGGTGGCAGCGGGCAGCGGGAAGCTGGAGGAGCGGCTGTACTCGGTGCTGTGTTGCACCGTGTGCCTGGACCTGCCCAAGGCTTCCGTGTACCAGGTAGGGCCGCCGGCCCGGCACGGCGCCGCGTCGCCTGGAGGCCTGGGGCCGGTGGCCGGGAACCCTTTTCTACCCAGACATCCACCTAACAGGCCCGCGAAGCCCCGCTCCCGTCTCGAGGCTCCTGCCTTTTCTTGCTCTGAATCTCATTTTCCGTGTTCTACGGTCCCCTTTACTTCCCCGACTGAATTTCTGCTCTCCTCCTTAGATTCCTTGTTTGCACCTTCTGCTTCCTCCAGGGTGTCCCCCTTGACATATTCCAGCTCCCATTCCGCTGACCTCGCAGAGAGCTATGAACAGGTGCCCGCCCGCCATTCCTACTCCTCATCAACACTGCCCCTTACTTCTAGACCCCCTGGAGGAAGACGCTGCTTAAGTGGAGATAGGGCTCCAATTCTGGCAGCCACACCCCCCCAAAATCCTTCCATGCCTGAACTACTAAAGTATACCTCCTTTTCTGCCCAGTGAAGCCCCGTGTCCTTCTGAAGAACTGGAGGAAGGAAGGGCCTCTCATCCCTTCCCAGGCCTAACCTAGGTGAAGCCACCTGCTTTTTTGGTACTTTCTCCTGCCCCAACCTAGCCAGTTTTCCTACTCAGGCCCATCTCACCCATGCCAAACTGGCCTCCAAGGTTGTCCTTGCATAGAACTTTGTCCTCGCCTTTCCCATCTGAAGACCCAAGTGCGCCAGTAGGACCCAGGGTACTGTTGTCTGTGGGCCTAACATACCCTCTCGCAAGTAAAAGAGCAGGCCTCCGGTTCAGTGAGAAGTGTCTGCCCACCATCCCCTGGTCTCTTTGCCCCTCAGTTCCCGGCTTCTGTCAGCTTTCTTTGTACTTAGAGTAGCGGAAAGTGGCTGGTGAGGCCTGTTTCCCTGCTTTGCTTTAGAGCGAGCCCCTGGCGGAGAGCCAGCATAGGTCTAGTCTGTGTAGCTATTTTCCTACCTTTTGGATCTCTACGTTCTTGTCTTGGCCTGAGGTTGTTGGTGTGTGTTGGGGGGGATTCCAGGGACCTGAATGGACACTCACCCTCCTAGGTGTTATGCCTTTCCACAGCTGCCGGTTCTAGCACCAGTCACCTCTCGTGTTAGGAGCCATCAGAACCTGCTCACAACCTTTTTTTTCTTGTCTTGGCGTCTTGGTCCTTCTTAGTGAAAGAACTCTTCCCTAACTAGGAGTGAGTGAGAGTCCAGCAAGACGAGCCAGTGGAAGGGAGTCCCAAGGGTCTCAGGGGTTTCTTGGTTGTTCCTGGCATGGTGATAGACCACATGATATTGGCTCCTGGTCTACACAGAGAGCCACCGTTGTGCTTCTGCCCAGTGTAACTAATGAGATTGGCTGGTTCAAACCAGTCTACACTGTGTTAGGTTAGGATTGTGATTGGGCTGCTGAGGAAGTGTGATAGAGTGGCCTGAGTGGAGGCACCATCCCAGACTGAAGGTGGGCGCCCTTGGTGACCCAGAGGAGCTGTGGGCGTTGACATTGATCTCCAGGCTCTGCCACTAGCCCCCTTCCCATCTCCTTTCTGTGTAGGTAAATAACCTAGAGCAAAGATGGTCCCCTGTCACCTGGAAAGGCTGGGAGAATTCTCTAGAATATGGGATTTTGGAAGAGCCTTGGGGCGAATGTTCGAACTTTGCCTGCACACAGATCTGTAAAATGGGAGTTCAGCGAGAGGAAGGAAGGACATTTCCTAGCATCTTCGAGTGTTACCAGAGTCTCCTGCCAGTGCAGTACAGCTCTGGAGGGTCCTGTTGCTGTCCCCACCAAGGTGCCAGGCAGGCCTCTTCAGGGCTCTTCCCTAGTCTTAGGATTTGAGTACAGGTGTCAGTATCCCTGGCCAGGATCCACTGCTGGTCACCACCTCCGCCTGAGCTCAGCTCTTGTGTTTTCCGCTAGCCTTCTTGTCTAACCCGTGTTGATGGGCTGTCCATCTCTTTAGACCAGTTTCCACCTTCAACTTTCGCTGGCAATATTTGCCTGACCTCAGCAGAACACATGGCTCCAGGTGGCCCCATCCGTGCTGTGCATCCTGGGAGCTGACTTAAATGCTCTGCTGGAGTGGAAAGTGGGTAACCACGCTATGGCAGGCATTGGACTGTGGGGAAAACCCCATGGGCCACTGGAGTTGGCTGGGTGTGTGGTAACTTGAGAGTGCATTATCCATATACCACCTGTGCTGCCAAGGAAACACTGGGAAGTGGACAAGAGCAGGGTATGTATGTGGGCTCATCCACCTAGTCCTAAGATAGCCTTAGGACCTGCAGGGCCAATTCCCATGGCCCATACTCATACGCTGACATATCACAGACTAGAAAATTTGCTCAGGTTGTCTAACCAAGGCCGTCCACCAAGTAGCTCTTATCCCTGGGGCCTGTGTCAAGTCCTGCAGCAGGTACAACAGGTGCATGCTTTGATGTTCTCTGTGTGGGTGTTAGGTATATCCTGGGCAACTGGCCTAGCAAGATGTGTAGCCACCTTCCCGAGTCTAGGGTGGGCCCTTCCAAAGTAAGGCAGGCATTATGACAGGTGCCTGGTAGGTGGCATGAAGGCTGGAGGGAAACCCACATAAGAACTTGTGGCTAGTCCAACCTGGGCAGGTGGACAGGCAGTTTGTGCTGTCTCCCTGTTCTGGATGTACTCATGAGGCCAGAGGGCAATGTAACCAGTCAGTAGCTACACATTGTAAGTGCCTTGTCTGTGGGAGTCCCAGCCTGAGAAGTTGCAACTGTAGCCTGTGCCCTGACCTACTTCCCCTAGCTTTCCCGCTACAGCCCTTCACAGACAGCTCAGAATGGACTTTTGTAAGATAGACCCAGCCTTGACCGTGGGTATCAACCAGGCTCAGCCTCTTTGCGCTGCATCTGGCAAAGATACTGCTCCTTCTTCCCACCCTTTAAAAACCTTTGAGTTGAGGGATCACTTAAGTGGGCCTCTGACATAGAACACAGTGAATCCAGCTCTATCTGATAGGGGCCCAGACACTTTCTGTGACCAGGAACCTGTTTCATTGTTCTACATGTTTTCCACTTTTTTTTTTTTTTTTTATTTTCGAGACAGGGTTTCTCCATAGCTTTTGGTTCCTGTCCTGGAACTAGCTCTTGTAGATCAGGCTGGCCTCGAACTCACAGAGATCCACCTGCCTTTGCCTCCCAAGTGCTGGGATTAAAGGCGTGCGCCACCACTGCCCAGTTTACATGTTTTCCACTTGAGCTGCTTTCTCCACGTCCCTACCTGCCTCTTTGCTTCTTCTTTGGCCTGACTAACAAAACCCATCTTTGGCCCTCTGTTCTCCCTTTGACAAGGATTCTCTTCCTTTCCTATTCTGCCCCAGAGGATGGTTGATATATTCTGCTTTTGCCTTTGCCTCTGAGTATGAGAGACTGAATATCTGGTTGAGAAGAAGTCCAGAGAACATTTGTCCCACCTCTGCCCAGGCCCCCTTCTGAGATTGATTGGTGTCTGGGGCTATCACACACATGGCCTGGCATCCTCTGGCACTGGCAATGATGATCCTTCCTTCACCCTCTTCCTCCTTTATTTTTATGTGCATGAGCGTTTTGCCCGCATGTGTATATATGTACCATGTATATGCCTGGTGCCTACAGAGTTCAGAACAATGCTTCAGATCCTCTGAAACAGGACTTATAGATGACTGTGAGCCAGCGCAGGTGCTGTTAATTGCTGAGCCAACTCTGTGGCCCCTGATTTGTTCTTTGAGGCAGGAATAGGTCTGCTTAGGATCTAAGGAAGAACTGTAGGCTTTTTGTTTTGGATTTTGGGGTGTGTGTGTGTGTGTGTGTGTGTTGATAGTTTATTTTGAGTTACTTTTAAATCTAAGCGGTGTTCATTTCTGAGTAAAAACTACACTTTGCTGGAGCCTAGCTGAATCATGAATATGGCTAACCTAGAATTTCAACTCTAGCCTCAGCAGAACGGTCTTGTCGCACTGGCTGTGTACCCATGGACAAGGAGCCAGTTCTGCTCAGGCCATGCTTGGCTATGGAAGTTCAAGAAACTGGGTCAATCCTCAAGGTGCCACTAGCCCTGATTCCTTACCTGCATCCAAGACACCATGGAAGACTCTAGAGAAAAAGAGTCTCCAGGTGACTGAGCAGCACTTTGGTATTAGTGCGTTTGGGTACCAGTAACTTACGTCAAGCGTCTGTGAGTACATGATGCCCTGAGCAGGAGGGTAGACTGTTCATATGGATCTGGGTACCATCATAATATTTTGTGCCCCCTATGTTTTTGAGGACTATGTTCTAGGCTTGAAAGAGACTGACTGACCACAAGGAACTTGTAACCAACTATAAGTTGTAGAGAACCCATTTCTAAGACCTGCTTATGGCTCAGGGGCAGGGCTTCTCTGTGAGCATAGCTATTCCACCTATCTCCTTTCACCCAAAGGAGAGCCCAGCTCAAATAGAACACTCCTGCCCTTGTATAGATGCACAGTCTGAGCACATGTGAATTGCCTGCAGGTCAGTAGATGGAAGGGCTGGGTGCTGGCCTGCAAGTATAGGAGCAGCAAATGACTGTTTCTGGACAATTTAAAGGAGCCTAGAACCTTAGCCCCATGGAGATGGAGCTCTCTAGGCTTTGACATGGATAACTGCCGAGGTGGCATTTGTTCTGAGGCTGCTGTAATCTGAGTGTCAAGCTTTGCTACAACACATTGCCTCTCCTACCTCATCCTGTGCCCAGGAAGAAACTGAGACCAACAGAGAGAAGACGATAAGTCCAGGATCATGCTATTGGTGACCTATAGGATGAGGGCAGAGCTCAAAGTGAGCGCCAAGTCAGTATCTGTCACCAGAGGGCCTGGAAAGACGTACAGTGTTTTCTTGGGTGTGAGTCCAGAGTTTGCCTGGCCTGGCCATTGCAGGAGCAGTTTCTGGAGGGGTCTAGGCACTGAAACTGCCACTACGGAGTCATCTGTGGTCAAGCTTCTGCATAGGCAGTGGGCACAAGTTAGGGGATAGGCACAATCTCTCCCGCTAAGGCTAAATGTGGCTGCCCTGAACCTATATTTGAAGTTAGGTCTTGCTCAGGAAGTTACGGGAAGGTGCTAGACTTGTGCGTTATGTACAGCTTACCTAGACACCGTCCCTAAGATGGCTGGTGAGAGGCTCTAAGAGGGTTTGCCTTGAACTTTGGTTGGGCCAGTATGCCAGAGAACATCTTGGGACTTGTTCTGCCACTTAGAGCCCAACTGTCAGGGCTGTGGCACCTCACTTTTCCTAGACCTTGCAAACTTCCCCAGAGTCCTAGAGGGACCCAGAGGAAAGCAGGGTAGGTACAACTTTCCTGGGGAATGGAGTTGATCTGAGTCTGGAATTCCCAGGAGAATAGGCCCTGTGGCCAGACCTAGCCCAGGCTTAGGTGGCTTCCACGGTTGGGGGCAGGAGTGATACTGAAGAGCAGTGATGGGATTGGCAGCCTTACCCTCTCATTAAGGGGGCCCAGCACTCCTTTCCAAGTCTGCTTGGACTGAGATTCAGAGCAGCTATCCACTGCATGGTTTAGAAACCTTGAGAGGAGCAGGCTGCAGCCAGGAAAAACGCTGTTGCCCCTCTGCTCAGGCTGGTAAACCCTAAAAGTGACTGTAGACCTGAGCGCAGAAGCCCAGAGCTTCCTCTAAGTTCAGGCAGCTTGCCAGAAAGTGACTCAAGCTGTGCACGTGGATTGGTGGGGCTGCAAGGTCCTTGGGTATCTTAGTGCCGGTGTCTTGCTGGGTGAACTTCTGTTATTTTTAAGAGAGGGTCTTATGTATGTAGCCCAGAAGTCATTTTGTATTCCAATCTTACTTTAAACAGTTCTGCCTCTGCCTCCTGAGTTCTGAGCTTATACCACTCCCAGTTCTGGGTAGAGTTCTTGGAGGATACTATGTGGTCGTACCCCACTTCTATGGGGGTGTCCTGAGATTGCCTCTCTGAAATAGATGAGCATTTAATTTTGTGTTGTATTCGCTCCTGCCTTCCAGAAGGAACAGTAGTCACTGTCCCAGGAAGTCCCCAGGCAGATGGGGTATAAGAGGACTGTGACTTGGGCCCTTGGTCAGCGCCTGTCACGTCTATACCCAGCTCCAGACCTGGAGTAGGCACAGCAGAGTGGTTGTTCCATCTCCATTTTAGATAGCCCACATTCTGGCTGGCCTCTGCCATGTCCTCTTCATCCAGGCCCAGATCAGCCAGGCTACTCTCTTCATAGTTGCATGTTTTAATTTTTCAGTCAAACTTATGTTTGTCTATAGATATATATGGTGTCCCTGTGGGCATGGGTTCTGCATCAGACTTCTGTCACCATCAGTCTTCAGCATGTAGGTTCCATCAGACAGCCTGTTGACGCACGCGATAAGATGGTAGCTAAGGTTTATTAATCTTGACAGTTATGCAGATGGGGCCTCCTGGAGTGGCCAGGCAGTAACTACTTATGTCTCTTTCCTAATGCACACTACATTGTACAGAGCAGCCACAGCATGGTAGCCTGATATATTGGTTTCTCTCTCTCTCTCTCTTTTGTTTTTCAAGACAGGGCTTCTCTGTGTAGACCTGGCTGTCCTGAAACTCCCTCTGTAGACCACACCAGCCTTAAACTCACAGAGATCTGCCTACCTTTGCCTCCCGAGTGCTAGGATTAAAGGTGTGCACTACCATACCCAGCTATTGGTCTCCCCTTTAACACTGAGTCCCTCATGGTGTGAGAGGGCTTTCTCATAGTGGAAGCCCACCCTGGTATAGGGTTCTCGACCCATCCAAGTTTTTTTTGTTTCTAGAATTTTCTTTTTTCAATACTGAGGATTGAACCCAGGACCTCAAGCTTGCTAGGTAGGCATTCTATCGATGAGCCACATGCCCAACCCGACCCACCCAGTATTTTCTATGGTACCAAATGATACCCAGAGTATATTGACTCTGTAAGAGACCCAGGTTCTAACAGTCTTTGTCTATGTAAGCAAGGACCTCCAGCTGTCAGGTCTGCTCCAGCTGATCCCGTTTATATCAGCTCAACTCAGTACCAGGTCCCACCTAACTTCAGCTTGAGCCAACTTAGCCTCCTGCCTGCCATAGGCTTTGTGCCATTGGCTCTGGAGCAACCCCAGTAGGTAGTCGCCCTCCCTGGGTGCTAGCAACTGCTGGTTCTCACCTGTGTTATCAGCAAGGGCTGGTTATGGAGGGGCCAGGGTTGATCTCAACCTGAGCCACTCCTAGTCCCCACATGAACAGCCTTTTGGAAGCCAAGGGAAACATGCCTGCTTCAGCAGCAACCATGACCCCCATGAACAGCTGCTTGCTAGGTATCCGGATCTGCCAGGTCAAGCAAAAAACCAGGATTTTATGGGAAAACTGGAAAAGCCAGGTTCCAAGCCCAGATGTGGTCAAGTCAGTTTCCATCCAGGCCTGCTTTAGATGTAGCCAGGACCCTCATGACATGATAAGGACCTGCTCTTGACAAAACCAGAGTTAGCTCTATCCTAGCATGACCCTCCAAGCAGCTCTCAGTGTTTGTTAGATACCAGCAAGACTTGGGAACCAGTGGGTACTCCTCTACTCTCCTCACCTAAAATCCCTCAGGACATCTGCTCTGGCTGAGCCCAGCAGGTGTGGGTGGGCACGTGTGCGTGCAAGGATCCACAGGACTGTGAGCTTCACCTCCCTTTCCTTCTCCGCAGTGTACTAACGGTCACTTGATGTGCGCTGGCTGTTTTATCCACCTACTAGCAGATGCCCGGCTGAAGGAGGAGCAGGCCACATGTCCCAACTGTCGTTGTGAGATCAGTAAGAGCCTCTGCTGCCGGAACCTGGCCGTGGAGAAAGCTGTGAGCGAACTGCCTTCAGAGTGTGGCTTCTGTCTGCGTCAGTTCCCTCGCTCCCTCCTAGAGAGGCACCAGAAAGAGGAATGCCAGGACAGGTAACCATGGTGAAGGTGGGGCCTTGTGATCACACATGTGATCACAAGCTCAGAAATAACCCTGTAGGCCCAGGTGGTGAGAGCATGCCTTTGAATAGAAGACAGTTAGGGTCTACACTAGTTGCTCTCTGGATAATATGGTGATCCTCTAGAATTCTCGGTGGCTATTGGCTAGACCCTTAGAAAGTCCAGTACAACAGGATCAGTTTGAAAGCTCTGGAAAGTTTGAGTGAAACTCTTGTTTGGCAACCCAGTCCCAGCACATAGAAACAACCACTTGCCTGGCAAGGCCCTGGCACCAAGAGCTTTCCTAGAATGAGGCTATGTATCATGGTCAAGAGCCACTCACCTCTAGGCAGAGAGACATCAGTACTGGACACAGGAGGCATGTTGGCTAAAAGCTGTAGAGTTCTCTCTCCTTCAGTTTCCCTGCCTCTTTCACATACATACCTACGTGTGGTCTGAGTGGCTGCGCTCAAAATTCATTGTGTCTTACAGGGAAGGGCTTGTGGTTGGGCAGAAGTAGCCTATGAAATACTTCTGGGCACGGCTATTTGCCCCAGCCACAGAGATGACCACTGTTCTCAACTCCTTCCAGGGTGACACAGTGCAAGTACAAGCGTATTGGCTGCCCGTGGCATGGCCCTTTCCATGAGCTGACAGTGCATGAAGCTGCATGTGCTCACCCAACCAAGACAGGCAATGAGTTGATGGAGATCCTAGATGAGATGGATCAGAGCCACCGCAAGGAGATGCAACTCTACAACAGCATCTTCAGCCTGCTCAGCTTTGAGAAGATTGGCTACACAGGTGAGGCACCCCACATTCCCCTGCATGCCACACAGGTACTGTTTGGGGCTAGAGGCTCCAGGGAGGCAGTAGGCTTTGGGCAGTGGGCACAGGCTGCGCCGATGGCCAGGCTCTGGGAAAGCTTCAGATGGGCAGGAAGATGTCTTGGGGAAGAAGATAGGTTGGAGATTGAGCGGAAGGAGGGATGCACCTGCATGGCTCTTACAGAGGTCCTTCCCACCTGTCCTCCCTGCCTCTGCCCACCACCCCGGCAAGATGACCCCCCCTCACTGTATGGGGATCCACAGATTTGGGGTGTTGGGTCTAACTAGAAAATTGGGTATGTTTGGGGCAGTCTGGGAGGTTGGGGGCCTTACCTTTGGAGCACAGAACAAGAAGAGCATTCCATCAAGTCAGGTCCTGTCTGCAGATGTTCACTGAAGGCCACATGGCCTCCTAAGACTGGCAAGAAGCTTGGACAGGGCTCCAGAACAAGCTGAGGGTCTCAGCTCAGACTGTAGAACTGGGAGTGGATGCCTACATATGAGTAGACTGGACTGAGCCTATGCTCACTGGATCTCATGGCTCCCAGGCATCTGCCACCAACTTTGAACATGTCGGGGAGCAGGAGCCAGACCACAACTTGTACCAGAGAACAAGAAGCACCTGCTGATACTGGGGCAACTCGGGGAAACTTCATTCCCTCTGCTGCTCAGCCTACGGCAGGTGGCCAGCTCAGAGCACCCAGGGCAGTCCTGGACAGTCAGTCATGCCATGCTGCCTAGACTAGCCCAAACAGGCCTGAGATGCAAAGGGCCCAGGGGCCTGCATCAGCAGAAAACTCTGGCCCTTGGTTAAGAGTAGCCTTGGCTGATCTCATGGCCTGTAGGGTCTGGGTGGGCCAGGCCATGTGGCTACAGCAGAGGCTGGGTGGGAAGACCTGTCCCCAAAAAAAGGACTGGCTGCCTAAGAGCCCATACATCCACAGCAGGACGTGCCAGCCACAGGACTGCAAAGGCAGGTCTGCCTGCTAAGCGACAGCCCTACAGACAGCCGGGCAGAATCCACATCACAGTCAACATCAAGGACTTGGCACTCCCCTTGGGCAGGACCAGATACCATCTGCCCACCTGCCGGCTTTTCTGGCAGCTTTGTATCAGAACCAATAAAGTGCACTTGTTCTCAGAACTGTATCCTGTCTGTGTGTCTGCTTACCCCGCCCCTTCGGGGACAGGGGACTGAGGGTAAGGAGGGTGGCTCTATGGGTTGGCCACTCCTGGGCCACATGGCCTAATGTCCCACAGCCTCAGGACTCTCCAGCTAACTGGTGTTAATTCTGTTTGTAGTTGTTCCCCCAAATGTGCACTTCCATTTGCCATAATTGCGTTTGACTTACCTTGTGACAAGTAGAACACGCTATCTGGGTAAGTTGCCTTCCTCCCTGGCTGAGCCTGTCCTTGGCCTGTTGGGGAAGGCGCCACCCCCTGGCCCTCCCCAGCACTAACAGTTGGCTGTCTGGCCCTGTCTGTCTCCACAGAGGTTCAGTTCCGGCCTTATCGCACTGATGACTTCATCACACGCCTGTACTATGAAACACCACGGTTCACAGTACTGAACCAGACATGGGTCCTGAAGGCTCGTGTGAATGACTCGGAGCGCAACCCCAACCTGTCGTGCAAGCGCACACTTTCCTTCCAGCTACTCCTCAAGAGCAAGGTCACAGCGCCCCTGGAGTGTTCTTTTCTTCTGCTCAAGGGCCCATATGATGATGTGAGGATCAGTCCTGTCATCTACCACTTTGTCTTCACCAATGAGAGCAACGAGACGGACTATGTGCCGCTGCCCATCATCGACTCTGTGGAGTGCAACAAGCTGCTGGCTGCCAAGAACATTAACCTGCGGCTCTTCCTGTTCCAAATACAGAAGTAGGCTGGGCCCAGGACACCTGAGGAGCAGAAAGCTGCAGTCCAGTAGTGCTGTCCCACCCCTCCCTGGCTTGGCAGCAGCTTCACACAACTATGATCATTTTAGCAAAGGAGGAGAACAAACAAAATCAAACATTGAGAAAGTCTGCATGCGTGTGCAATGGGGTCCCCGCCTCTGGCTCACCTTCCTCCCCTTTGCCTCCCACCTCCTGCAGGCAGCCAGAGGCTGGGCTGACCACAGTGGAAACAGTACTCTGGGCTCCTCAGGCACAGGTGGTGAGGAGGGCAAGAAGCCAACCACCCTTACCCCAGCTCCCATCCTCTCATCGAGGTGGCACGGTGGTTCTCTGGCCAGGCTCAGGGGCCCTGGCTGACTTCAGACAGCATATTTGATTGCAATTAAAAAGGCAGCCTTGTTTCCTACTTTCTGTTTTGTTGGAGGGGAAGGTGTGGCTGTGAATGGACCTCATGGGAGATTTGGTTTGGCCCGGTGGTCAGAACCTGTCCTGTCCCTGATACTGCACCTATGTGTGCACCCCAGGAGAGACTTAAGAGACACTGCTCCCCCACAGTCTTATCAGAGGTTGGGACTAAAGCCTGGCCAGTGAGCCAGAGGGTTGGGCTTCCCCAGCTGCCACTCAGAGGAAGCAGGACTTGGCTAGTAGGGCTCAGCAAATGTTTTCGGAATGCAGGGTGAAATTCTGTCTCTTCGAGGAAAAAATGAAACTCTACAGGCTCTTTAAGTGATGTGATTTTAGCAAGAAATAACCCATTCGCTTAACTCAGCATAGAGGGCCAGGTGTCCTCAGGGTGCCAAGGAGGCAGCCCTTCTCTGTGACCTGCATTTAATGGTGGCAGGGGCACTGCAGGACCAAGGCAGAGCAGCATGGTTTATCGCCTAGGCAAGGTCGGCCTTCCCCTTGCTGGGCCATTCACAGATTCTCTGAGTTGTGGTTGTAAGCAGGACAAGTATTAGGGCCTCACAGAATATGAAGCAGCCACGCTTAATAGGGCTAGGCCCCGATCCTCTCTTCCTTGGGTTCCTCAGAGACACTGAGAAAGGTAGGACTTGCCTCCTTCTGTCTTTGCTTAGGAAATGAGGCTCTTCTATCATAGCTTTTTGTTGCTTTAATACCAAAGAACCGGTTTCCTCTGCCCTAACCAGACCTCCACATGCCTCAAAGTAGTTCCCACCATCCCATGCAAACTGCCTGGGCCTGAACTGTTCTGTACCTTCCAAGTTAAGGGACAGGGTAGTCTTGGCCTTGTGGGTGCAAGTACTAATGTTTCACCTACCCTGACCTTCAAGAGGGCAAAGAGCTGAGAAATGAAGAGAAGGAACTGTGACGAGGGGTATAGGTCCCATCTGTTTTCCTGAATACGGCCAGTGTGGCCCTTCTGCCTTCTCATAGGCTGAGAGGTTTTCTACACCTGTTTGGCTTCCTGCATGGGGCTTGTGGGAGTTCTCCTGCAAACGTGACCAGGCTGGGAGGGGTAAGAAGGCCAATATTTGACTTCTGCCTACTATGAAGGACCCCATGTCAGATCCCAGCACATCCATGGGAGCAGATGCAGCTCCTTGATTTTCTCTGCCTTTAGGGGCAGCCTCTCAAGCATGCTCAGCTATCAGGCATAGAGGATCTTTGGAAAACAGAGGAGGCCCCTCTAGAAGTCCCTCTAGATTCTAAGGTGTTAGTATGAAAAGGCAGGGCAAGGCCAGCTTGCCCTAATAACCTGTGTCTAGATGTGTGAGAGACTGATTCACAGAAGGTAGCCTGAAAGTCTCCTGGGGAGAAACAGGATAGGAGGCTTATTCCCCCATGGGCACAAGCCAACAGGGACACTGCATGAGAGTGAAGCTGGGCTGGCAGGGGCTCAGAGACAACAGTTGAGCTCTGGATATCTGTGGAGATGAAAGGCATACTCCAAGGCACAGGTAGGACTGGGGCCATGCCCAGCTGAGATCCACCTAGGGGTGTGGCTGTCCAAGAGTTCCCAGGAGGACTACAGCAGCCTCCTAGTGACATGCTCGGTGTGGCCGCTACACTGTGACTGTCATGTGCAGCAGTTGAGCCTTCTAACCTAGAGGAACCAGACATGGAGAAGACTAGTATGTCTCTTGGCTCTGCTAGGGACTGGCATACAGACCTTCAGCATCGTCACTATGAGCTCTTGGGGGGGAGCACCATATCTCCAGGCTTGTGTCCAGAGTCTTGTTATCTTGCTGTCCTAACCTGGCTCTTTTTCTGTTGTCTCTGAGGATGGGAGAGGGGTTCAGCCTCAGTAGGTGTTGGGGAGGCTGCCAGAGGGGGTTGCATAGGCCAAGCCAGGCCTCCCCCCTCCGCCTGTCTCATCCCCACTTCCTGTGAGCACCACGTCCCTCAGTTTGCCCAAAGTGAGACATTTACAAAACAATAAAAATAATTTTCTAATGAGCAGAGCAAGAAGTGTTTTTATGATTGTTGGAAATGACTTACATGTCAGTTCTGCCGTTTGCATTTTCTTTGAGTATTTTCTGTATGTACCTGTAGTTAAAAAAATAATTCCAAACCATGTTTTGTCTGTGTTTCCTTACCAGAAGACAGCCTCAGGGTGGGGCTTCCTGTGCTCTGCTAGCCTGCCTTGCTCATCAGCCTGTACCCCATCCCCAGGCCTCCAGTCATGTGAAGCACCCAGATAGAGAAGCTGGATTGTCTCTAAAGGGAGACTGACTCCACAAAGTTGTCTCTGACTTATACTCGTGCCATGGCATGTGTGCCCCCCAAATAATAATAATAGTTTTTTAAAGATGCTTGTAAAATACAGCTTTCCAGGGCAAGGCACAGTCTGAGGAAACTTTCGCACAATACTGCATACAGTAGAGCAGCTGGATCTCAACAGGCTCCTATTTTATGAATCCTAGGGCTGGACAGAAAGCAATTTGTGGTCTTCCCGACAGCCTTGGGGTCTGCTCCATGTCTTAAGCCTCTTGATTCTATCCCTTCCTCCCACTCCACCCTTCTTTCACAGTGTCCCTCACCAACCTGCCCGCTAGGCAGTAGACTTAATTTTAGAGGCATGCATGCTTTGGATGGGAAAAGGGCTGACCTCTGTAGCTCTTCTGACATCCTGAGACCCATCACGACCTAGTCTAACAGCTGCCCTTCAGGAGGTCTACCTGTGTCCTATTTTCCTTTTCACCGGACACAACTCTGGAAGAAAGATCTCACCACATCCTTGCAGCCTTCAGGTAGCAAGGCCCAGACCTGCCCAGCCCCAGCCTGCAGCAGGTGGCTGATAGGGTCAGCGGGTTCAGGGGGCCCTTCTTTTTTTTTTTTTTGTTTTTTTTTTTTGTTTTTTTCGAGACAGGGTTTCTCTGTGGTTTTGGAGCTTGTCCTGGAACTAGCTTTTGTAGACCAGGCTGGTCTCGAACTCACAGAGATCTGCCTGCCTCTGCCTCCCAAGTGCTGGGACAGGGGGCCCTTCTTAGGCCTATATCTGCCCTCAGTATCACTCTCTTCCCAGCAGGTGTTACCATCTGTCCTCTAGCTGGTCTTCTACTCCATGGTTTTGAGGTTTGGTTGGTTGGCTTTCTTTTGGTTTTTCTCTGCTGTTTTGGTTTTGGTTTTTTGTTTGTTTGCTTTGTTTTCTGAGATAGGGTCTCTCTAAATATCCCTGGCTGTCCTGGAACTCACTGTATAGACCAGGAGGACCTTGAACTCAAAGACATCACCTGCCTCTGCCTCCCAAATGCTGGGATTAAAGGTGTGTGTGCTCCCACTGTTGTCATTACAATAGAAGACACACTTATCTGCTGACTAGTGTGGTGGACAATGGACGCGGGCCTGTGATTCCAGCGCCCGTGGGAAGTGGCAGATCTCCGAGTTCAAGGCCAGTCAGGGCTAATCAGAGAAACTCTGTCCCAAAAACCAAAAAAAGAAAAAGACCCTAGGACTCAGCTGGGTGGTAGTGGTGGTAGTACATGCCTTAATCTCAGTACTCAGGAGGCAGAGGCAGACGGATCTCTGTAAACTACAAAGAAACCCTGATTCAAAAAAACCAAAATAAAAAAAAAAGAGAGAGAGAGAGAAAGAAAGAAAGATAGATAGACAGACTCCTCTCCTCTCTATCCCACTCCTATGGCTTTCTGGGCTCTGCACTGTTTTCACTGGGACCCTCAGTGTACAGTCTGGTAGAGGCTGACTGTTGAGGTTGCCTCATAGCCAGGGGTGAGAGCTCCATCTCACAGCAAGTGCTGGGTCTTCAGCGTAATGGGGAACAGAGTACCCCAAATCACAGGATTCCAAGGACAGTTCCAGGCCTTTTGCAGGTGAAGAATCTGTATTGGTTTCAGTTCTCCAGCCTAGAGTGTCTTCCAGTACAAAGCTATGCAGTTTTCAAGTGTCTTTATTGCATCTTCTGAGAATACCAACACCCACATAAAGAAACTTTCTGTTTAGTTCAGAAAGCACATTCCTCCCCTTCCTCAATCCGGAGACCTTCTGTCCTTTCCCCGGGGCATCTGACAGTTCCATACAGTCCTCATTCCCAACGATTTCTTTGTATAGTATTGCTGTGTTCTGGTTTTTCAGGACAGGGTTTCTCTGTGAAGTCCTGGCTGTCCTGGAACTCACTCTGTAGATCTGGCCTCGAACACATTGAGAGAGATCCACCTGCCTCTGTCTCCTGGGTGCTGGGATTAAAGGTATGTGCCATCACTGGCTAGATTTTTTTGCAATGATTTATTTTGTTTTTACTCTATGCACATTGACGTTTTGCTTGCATGTATGTCTGTGTGGGAGTGTTGGATCCCCTGGAAATGGAGTTAGATAGCTTTTGAGCTGCCATGCGAGTGCTGGAAATTGAACCTGGGTTCTCTGGAAGAGCAGCTAGTGCTCTTAACCACTAACCACCAGTTCTAGGTGATGCCTTCTTTTGGTATCCATGGACACTAGGCATACATATGGTACACAGATATTCAGGCAAAATATCCATACACATAATATAATAATTAAAAAATTTTAAGGTAAAACTTACAAGCTAGATATGGTGCATAAGTCTTTAACCTCAGCATGACAGAGGCAGGCAGATCTCTGTGAGTTCGAGGCCAACCTGGTCTATAAGAGCTAGTTCCAGGACAGGCTCCAAAGCTACAGAGAAAACCCTGTCTTGAAAAACAAAAACAAACAAAAAAGTTTTTCAAATATAAACAGGTTGTGTGTGCTTTAATTTCTAGAGGAAGTGAGGGCAGCATTACATAACACCTGTAATAGACAGGCAGGTAGACTCCAGGACAGCACGGTCAGTGCCTCAAGTGCCCCAGTGCTCCCAGCCAGCAGCCACATACTGGCTGTAGTCCTGGGAACCCACCCGAAGCGGTCTGTAAATAAGAGCACCGAATGCCTGGGCGCCCACACTGTGCCTGCCGCTTAGAAGGCTTA